GCTATTTTTTCCCAAAAACCTTTTTTTTTAGCCTTAAAAACCAATTTTTAACTTTTTTATAAATAAAAAATATAATTTAAACATAAATTAATATATATATATATATATATATGCATATATATATAACAGTTTGACCAATTAGACTTCAACAGTCAAACTAGTGACCTGCAATCCAGAGACAAAATTAGTTTGACCTTTAGATCAATTTTTAAAGCATTGCAGAAAATAAAATTAAGTGATATATACAAAAATATTTTATTATTTAATTATTTTGTCGACAAAAAGACAAAATGATAAGTTACTCTCAGTAACTTCAGCTGTTATTAAACTATGCCCGATCAATATTTCGAATGACCACAACAAAACAGGTGAAATTATGATGTTGGAAAGGTATCATACCGGAACAGCTTTGACCAGTCAAACTCCACCCTTTTCCTTTTTCTTATGAATACCATTTGATCCGTTGTCACTTTTATGATACCGATTGAAAGAGAAAAAGAAAAATTCTTGACCTCTAGAAACTGCCCTGTGGCTTTGGTAAAGACAATTCCAACTTTATTATTGTTAGCTTTGTTCCACTTCCATTCCATCTTTCCTTCTGACCTAAGTTTGGCTCCTTCGAGGGAGGGAGAAACATTGACAGGTGTGAAGTTTAAGATTCTTCTAGAACAACGGTAGAGGCTTTGGGATCATTGTTGGGGACTTCGGGGAATTCAACTCATACCTTCCACCTTCTATGCAGGATGTTTCTTAGTGGAGCAACTTGGATTCGCCCAATCCAAGCCCGAACTTATCCAGCCAGCAATTGTAAATGTGCTGAGCTTAGATTTTCAGTCCTTGCATTGGGGTTTGGCACAGAAGTTTAGGATTTTCGATTTTTTGGGTAGGGTTCGGACCTAATCCTTACGTAGTCCGAACCCAGCCTGATTATATATACTCAATTCTTAGGATTGGGCCTGGGATAAGGTAAAACCTGACGCAGCCTGCCCAACTTGCACCCCTAATGTTTCTAAGAGTGATCATGGCTGGAATTTTTGGCCCGACTTACACCCCTAGGTCTTTCCGTCTTCTCCATCTTGTTTCAGTGAATATGCATTTGCACCTATAGCTTTGCTTTTGAAATTATGGGGACATACTATGGTGGAGTTAGGGGTGAGGATGGGTAAATTCGGTTTGGTTCCAATGCAGAACCTGGAACAAACTCTATCAAGATCAGTTTCAATGTTGGTTTTGGTCTTGGTGGTTTTAGGGTCTATCTATGGAACATGTTCTTTAAAAACTTGATTTTCTATAATAATAATAATAATAAGAAATAGTGTGCAGCCGTTTGATCCATTCGCAGAGTCCCAAGCCATGTATCCTGAACACGAGCTTGAGGACAAGCTCGTAGTCCAGGAGGGGTGTAATGTTATGGGCACACCATCCGGCAGCGCATTGCGGAGCAGTCATAGGTAGCAGCACACACGGCAGGCCGCACAGTAGCAGGCA